CATCAGAAAATTTTAATTCAGAAAAAAAATTAACAGGCAACATACTAACCCCAAACTGAATGATATATTATGGAGAAAAATCAGTAAATATTTCTTGGCACAGTTGCCACTTTAAATATGTCCATCTTATTTAAAGATTTATTTTATTTTAATTATGTGTAGATATGTGTATCTGTGTGTGTGCATGTGCATGTAAGTGCATGTGATGATGGATACCAGAATCAGACATTAGAGCCCCAGAGGCTGGAGTTTTGAAGGTTGTGAACCGCCCAGTATGGATTCCAGAAACTGAACTAGAGTCTTCTGCAAGAATATTTCATGTCCTAAATTGTTCAGTCATCTCCTTAGCTTCTAAATATGTCAAATCATTTAAAGAGTGACTCTGATTTAAATTAAGAAAATGATGTGAGAAATTTAAATTTAAAATAGATAAATTTTTCCTATTGAGGGGCATTTAGATTCCCTAGAATAATTCAAAAATTTATTATTACCATGCAGCTTAACATGAAAAGTTTCAAAATATAAGCTAGAGACATTCAAATGTAGACACTCAACCTATTAACTAATCAAAGATGTATATATAATAAGAAATCTGTAAGACGCTAACAGCATCATCATCAACTTTAGTAAGCCATGTCTTGGATTAATGAGATAACTTAAAGGTTAAAAGTACATATTGCTCTTGCAGAGGGCCAGAATGTTTAGCATCCACATTAGGCAGTTCACAACTGCCTGTGACTCTTATTCCCAGGAGATCTAATGGCATCCATGATACTTACATTGAAGATACACACACACACACACACACACACACACACACACACACACACTTTTTAAGAAAAATCTTAAAATTTATGTCCAGAAGTCCTTTCCGTAATGTCTTAGTTTTGCAAATGGTAGAAGCAGGATTTGTAAGAGAGCTAGAAAAGCTGTTCTTACTTGCTCTGCGGTCTGTCCTAAGTGGTCAGAGTCCGTCGGAACTCCAGGACACAACCTCTGAAAGGAAACAAGGTCTTCCCCATTCATGGGTTTGGATTTTGGGGTGTTCCAAACAGGTCTCTATTCAAGGACACATACATATTAAACAAATATAAACTTTAATTTTAGTGTTAAGTAAAGCAGAATTTGAGAGAATGAAGTAATGATTGGAGCCACTCTACGATGAGTTGCCCTTGTAAATCACTTCCCCAGCTGAGAGACAGAGCGCCATAAGACAATGACTTAGCCCTGTGTGTCTTTTTTAAAGTCAGACTTCTCTGTACATTAGTAATCTTCAAACACTGCAGAATAATTATAAGTATTTTAATCTGGTTTTATCAGTGACTGACAATGTGAATTGGTGACGTCATTTCTAAGCATCACTTATAATGAGTCTGGAATTCTTTTCTGACCTATTTAATTAGTGATTATGTACCCTCGTCTACTTTCAAATGTGCATAATAAATTTAGCAAGGATTAAGAGGGATAAAATATTCGTGAGTTCCTGCCGGAGAAAGACTCAAGGCTTAGTAGACTTTGGCTCCATAGGTCTGTTAATCTCATTGTCAGGAAATTAACATTAATTTTCCCAGGAGCATGGCAGTTTAGAAGTCTCAAGGACTTTACTTACTAAAAAAAAGACAGGGGAGATTTAGGGTCCAGAGAGCAGGCTCCAGAGTCGCACACACCTGCCCTCCGCTGATTGGCTGTTTGACCTCAGTTTCCTCATCAGTTGAATCAGGGCAGTAAGAGCTCCCAACTTCCAAAACTACTGTGAAAATTACATCGAACTTGAAGGCGACGTGCCCTGCCTGGAATTAAGTAAGAACTCAGTGAGGGCTGGGAGACACCTAGAACCCAAGAAGGGCACAGCACAATAGTAAAAGGTCCTGTGCACCTTGGGGCAAAAGGGTAGGCAGAGACAAGAGAATCCCTGGTAGCTCATCGACCAGCTGCTTTGGTGCACTAAGCAGAAAATGGCAAGGGAGACCCTGCTTCAAATAAGGTGGAAGGTGAGGACCAGAGCCCCTGAGGTTGTCTCCTTATTGCCACACAAGTGCCTGCTCCCCCTCCCTTACCTCCCTTACTCCCCATCCCAAGGATTAATTTTTTTTTCCTTTTTTATTTTATTTTTTTTAAGAGCCCAAAGAATAAGGCTGGGAAAATGACTCCGCAGTTAAGGGTACTTGCTGCCCTTGCAGAAGACCAGTTTGCTTTCCAGCAACCATATCCAGTGACTCAGAAGCACCTGTCAGTCTGCCTTCAGGACTTGTGACACTCTTTTCGGTCCTCTTAGAGTACACTGTGCTTTCTTTCTTCACTGTGTTCAGAATAGATAGAATGAGTGATAATCTTCATTGGGTCTGTCTTTTTATATAAAGATTCATTTTATTTCGCGTGCACGTGTGTGTGTGTGTGTGTGTGTGTGTGTGTGTGTGTGTGAAGGTGAGAAGTCCACTAGTGAGTGTTAATTCTCTGCTTCCACTATTCCTGTCAGGGGCCCAGCTCAAGTCTCCCAGCTTGGTAGTAAGCACCTTCCCCACGGAGCCATCTTGTCAGAGTTTACAGTTTCTTAGAACCCAGGTAGATTACGAATTCAAGACAGACTTGTCATATTCCTAAATCGTTTTTAAGCAGTTAATTATGATATATTTACTTTGTATTTTCTTGGATGTACTAAGAACAATACTTCCTAGTTAGATCCAAGCAACCACATGACTGTGGTCTAAGTAAAGAACAGATGCAGATGAGGTTTAAGGTAATGAAAGAGAAATAACTCATTACACACTTAGCAACAGGTCTTAATTCCCTTCTGTACTTCCAGGATGGGAAGAGAGTTGATGCAGACGCCTTTGCTGCTAGGGAGATGCTAACAGATTGAAAGTGTCAATCAAGACTTAATGTGTTGCCTGCATGTTGGTAAAATAGTTTTGAGTGAGGAAGATTGGGAGCTTTCCTTCAAGAGGCTGTAACAGCTTTTGAGAGCACAGCGCAAACTTCACTAAATATTTAGGGTGCAGAAAGGATACTAATGGAGCTAGAATCCATTCACTTTCTTTGTTTATGTTAGCAATTAGGGCAGGTGGTTTGTGTTCACAACTAGAATTTGAAAGAGATGCAGAATAGCTGAACTTACTTTTGTTAAGAATTCCTACCTCTTTCCATACTGCCAAATGAATAAATAAATAAATAAATAAATAAATAAATAAATATTCACTCATTCTATATATTTGAATGCTTCTAGAAGAAGCCCGTATAAATGTGTTTGATGTACCTCTGAAATGAATAAAACCTAAGTCACACTGAAATGGAAGTTGAATAGTCAGAATTGTCCTCATACCTTTGCTTGACTTTTGAAGATTTTATCCATTCATATTTTTCAACCACATAATTCATTAAATATCTACTACATACTAGGGTATGCAGCTAGGATAAAATAGGAGAAGGTTTCATGGAATCATTGGATAGTTAAAATCATCTTAAGACCATGACTCATTTATGAAACAATTTACTTACTGTGGATTTTGTGGCAAATCATCTTTTTTTTTTAAAGAATATGTTTCATTAAAAAGATTGATTATTCGAAGAAAGGAGCATGATATAAACCATAGGAAATGGTGATGACTAGAGGCAGTAGGCACACAATTTGGCAATGTAGTTAGGATATTATTATATTATTAAGTATATTGCACTTGATATTTGGTAGAGATAATGAAGAGGAATAGGCAGTCAGAGAAAATACTTTGTTTATTTATCATTTATCTGTTTACTTTCAGTGAATGACTAGGCAGAAGGTAGAATGTGGCTATGGTTTGATTATGACTGGTCCTCTCCAAAACTTTGCTTAAATCTAAACCTCATTATGAGATATTAGAAGACAGATTCCAATGGAATTTTCAAGAGATCTGTACTGTCCTCACCAGCAGATTTACACATTAATATTTTCATTAGTGGACTTGGCTGCTAATGGGTTACCTTGAGTAGGTCTGACTAGGTCTGTCTCACATTCCCCATGATTGGGGTCACCTCAAGACACCACCAGTATAAAGGTTTGCAGAGGCTGGAGGTATTACAATGTTACAAATGATTTTGAACTGCCTGTGGTAGGTGGGAAAATCAGGTGTATGGAAGAGCATCCTTGCTCCTAACTGCTGAGACATTTCTCTGGCCCCATTTAATTTATATTAAAAGTTAGAAAAGCCTTGTTAATTATGTACTTATTTTAATATCTTAACTTAACAGTCATCAATAGTTTTACCTAAAAAGATTCCTCCTTGTACATAGTTAGGGTACTGCTGTTTCTGAGCCATCATTCATAAGATGCTGTCAAGATGTTTTGTTTTGATCGTGGAGAAAAATCTTACCCAAAGATTGTTCATAATGCTTTTTTGGTCTTATAAGATAAAATTAGTATCTATATCCAGATATTCTTCTGTTTAGCATCTCGGAGGTCTAATATTACCCGTTTCAGTTTGGAATTGCATTGACTTATTTGAGAGCACGTGTGCACAGCACATCACAGAAGTGGAGCTCAGAAGACGATCTGGAGGAGGTGATTACCTCCTTCCACTTCGTGGATTCAGATATCAAATTCAGCTTGTCAGGATTGGCAGCAAGCACTTTGCCTGCTGAGTTAAGTTGCCAGCCAGGTATTTTCTTTCTTTAAATATCTTTACAGTCATCATTCCAACAAGTTTTCACAGAGCCTCGATTTTTCAATTTCTTGAATTTCATATTCAATAGTTTTAGAAATGAGAAGTGCTCTCAAGCTTGCTCAAAAGAAGCAGAACATAAAGAAAAAGAGAGTATTTTATAGTTCTGTAGCTACACTTCCCATTGTCTTTGATTGCGTTTCCTTTCCAGATGTTGAAATAACTCTTCCATCATGTGTGATTCTCTGTATTTAAAATATTAAAAGTGTGCAATGAGATATTCATTTAAGAAACAATCCTACATTTCCAAGAAAGTAAAGGAATCCTGGAATTGAAAGGAGATAATCTTCTTATTGTTTATGTTCACAGTGATCCCAGAATTCGTGACCCAAGTGAACGCTGCCTTGGATGCCCTAAGCAAGAATTCACTGACTGTTCTTGATGATAATCAGTTTGTGGACATCTCAAAGAAGATCTACGACACAGTTCACGACATCAGATGTTCAGTCATGATGATTCGGGTAAGCTCGTTTTACCTATGTTGGAGTTTTTCCAGAATTCCTCACCATCTGGACTGTTTGGAAGGATATGAACAAATGTTTGATTTCTTTGGTTTTATACCCATCAGTTCTTAAATCCATTCATATTTTGAATTCTAGTGTTTCTCCAAAGCCAGATCTTGTGTCATTTGACTTACATCTTTGGGTATAACCAAACCAAAACAAAACAACAGCAAACTCAGAAACAACATGCTTGCTTTCCCTAACAAGCAGCAAGGATAGCTCTCTCTGCTAAAATAAGGTGTTTCTGTGGCCAAACCCTCCCATCCTAGACTGGAGATTCACACAGCATTCTGCCAGAAGCCTGATGTCTGGAACTGCTAGGAACAACAAGCCCTTTAAACTTCCCAATCTGGGCAGACTTTATTTGAGAAAAAAAAATTATCACTTTCCCAAGAGTGTGACTGCATCATTGGTTGCAGATACACTGTATATACAGAGATCAAAATTGTTTATTTTAACTCAAATGTTAAAGTGTGTTTTTTAAAATGTTCCTAAAGAAACAAAGTAAGTTCTTAAAGAAAATGCTCATATTAGGATTGGAGGAATGTTATGAGATAAGGAAGAGGTGGAAGGTGAGGTGTGGATTTCTATTTTCTGTAGTGTGGGAACAAGGGGCCTGAGAGAGTGAAGCCTGGGTGTTAGGGAGACCGTTGCAGGCTTATTATGAGGCACTATGAGTGTAGGTCCTGCGGCCAAACTCTTGATTTTCTGTAGAGCAGAGCGCAGAATTATTTCACCTGAGGTGAACAAAATCTTGAGATTTCCCCAACCATTCATGCTCGATTAAATGCTATACTAAGGGCTATTTAGCTGGGCCTCCTGGTCAAAGCCAATAAAGTACTTGGCATCTAATAAAGGGACCTTAGGCAGAGCGGTGGATGCCTGTGGTAATGTAACATAAGATTTGTAGGTATGATACAGTTCACTGTGAAAGCTTCTGAAATTAGCTGCTAGTTAGAAGGAAATGGATATGATGAGAAAATATGAATAGTGTATTGAAAGCATCTGTGTAAAGTTAGAACATTATAGTCTTCACTGAGCAGTACATAAAATGGGGGCGTTTGCAAACCTTATGAAGAGTCAGAATCCATTGTGAAGTCAGGCAGAACAAATGGAAGGGTTGTAAGAGAAAAACTGAAGGAGATATGAAGGTACAGGATCCAGAACCTAGGACTTGGGAAAAGCTGAAAATCAACCCAATGACATATACAGAGAGTCCCTAGTTACGGTGCTTAATCTTCGGAGTGTGTGCCTTTGCAATGTTTCAGTCAAACAAATTCTTCTAACCTTAAGACGTGCCCTTTTCCTGACTGAGCAGTGTACACAGCATGGCATTCTCATGAAGTGTCGGGAAGTCACACCGTCATTACACTTCAAGACGGTGAGAAACTGAGACTCTACAGTGTGTCTCGTCTTTGAGTTCAATCGCTTAGGTGGCTGACAAGCAGTTTTTGATGTCATAGTATTTTCAGCTCAATGATGTCTTTGTTGGGACTCCATTGTAAGCTGAGGAACATCTGTAGCAGCGGGCAGCCTGCAGAGATTTGGTTGTGTGATTGGAAGTGTCCATAGAAATCTTACCTAACATGACAGTGCCCTTGAAGAAGTTCTTTGGTTTTTTAACCTTACCTACTTGCAATTGGGTAAAGCATGAAGGATACATGGGCCAGAACACAAAAACTAAATGTATACAAACATTCAAACTTCACAAAATGGTCGCATCATGATCAAACACGACAAATCAATGATCTCTAAGCATGTTTGGTAAAGCAGGTACTATCATGTAAGCTCCCTGATAGAGAATCCACATTTGTCTTGAAATCTGTCTAGGGATGAAAAATATAACAAACCTTTTAATTTCTTTTAGTAGATATTCTAGTGTTTTCTTATTTTCAAGATTGCTTACATACAGTAAATCAAATTATCTTGCTGTTAGTTATCTGTGTTCCTCTCATACTGAGGTTCTTTATGGAGACAGGAGACTACTTTGCTGCAGTTATGAACAGCTTAGGAGGAAGTAATTTTCTCTGTAACCATTTCTGTCTTCAAGGTGAATATTTCTATTTCTGGTAACTTTTTCTCCTTGGAGGATTCCAGTGTCTTGTATTCTTCACCACTGCTTATTTAATTTTCAGTTTTCTTTCTTTCTCCCTTCCTTCCTTTTTCTTTCTTTTCTTTCCTTTCCTTTCCCTTTCTTTCTTTCTTTCTTTCTTTCTTTCTTTCTTTCTTTCTTTCTTTCTT